GGTGCAGCCAGTTGATGCAGGAGCCGGACGATTTCTCAAGGTGGAAGTCGGGAGGCAGATGGACATAGACTATGGCTCGAGCAGTCGGACAACCTCGAGAGGTGGGAAACCGCGTCGCTGACAGCTTCTGATCGGCGCGTCCTGATCACTGAGTGGATGGGAGCGGCCATGGCAAGACTCAACAGCAAACAGGCGTACCGATACTGTCTTTTCGAAAAGTGCGGGATGGTCATGACCGTGGACGGCTCGGGAGATGATCGAATCACCTTGGAGGGTTTGGACAAGCCGTATACCTTCGCTAACGATGAAGACAGTAGCGACGACGAACAAGGTTCGGAGGACGGCAACGATGAGCCTGAGGGGCGGGCGGAGGAGGGCGATGAAGGACGTGAGACGCTCATGGAGGGCGTTGACTCCAGCGATGAAGACGACGGCGGTAAGTTTGTTTTGCACAAAACAAACTCTGCATCTTCTTTTCGTTGATGACGATGTCCTTCATGTTGACGTTAGCTTGTTTCCGCGCACGGCTACACTCAAATTATGATAAGTTCAGGTTGAGTTTGGCGACGTGACACCCTAACTTCTTGTGTTTCCCGTTGCCTCGTTCGCAGACATCTCTCAACCCCAGACCGACGAGCTAGCTCTTCTGGACGACGACGACAGCATGGACCCACCAGACCCGGAGGATGAGATATAGGGAATGGATATCCCGGCAGGCTTTCGTATTCAAGAAGCTAAACCCGTTGCTCTTGACAGATTGCTTTTGCGGCGTGGAGTGCTCGTTCGGCTGGGCATGGGGTGGTTTGGAGGGCTGATCACTCAACAATCTCAGAAGGACACTCGCCACCTGTACGACTACTGTGTGCAGCTGGAGCTAGACCAGAGTACGCGCAAGATGAAGTTGCCCTTAGGCAAGCACAGCGGAGATTCGGATGCGGCTGTAGGCTCCTTTTTTTTTTCTTATCACACATAAAAATCCATCCCTATCTAAACTATAGAAATGAGTCTCAGATAGATTAGCAATGAATCCATAGCGTGAGCGAAAGCTACCTGTATGTCTACGGTTTCCCAGACAGCATACAGCGATATCTCCCCTGTGGGTAACAGGCTCAACAAGGCAGTTTGGTAGCCATCTTGCGTATCTATCTGCATGTTATGTTGGGAAGTTGTAGAGATTTAGGGAACTCGATTTGTCGGGTGTTCTAACATGGCACCCTTATGTGGTTGCGGAGCAAGCGCGTCTCGTGGTGTGTATATTTTCGTCAACTTATATTTTGTGTGTGATGTATGGGAGCATGTGCGGGACGGTGTTGTGTAATTGCACGTCATTAAATGTGCGAAGGGCACGGGAGAACATTATTGCATCATTGCCTCCTGACGTGACCGCCGATAGACTCGAGAGGCGTGTGGTTGAGTTTTCATCATCGACATGTAGGTGTGTGTTAAATGCAGTGGGTATGGTCACCTCTCTCGCCCGTGCGTCTGCAGAGAGTATGGCTACCTTTCCCATTTGTAGACAGCGCGGACCATAAGTAAAGACAGAGTGTATCATTGCTTGAGAGCATTAGTAGATCAGGAAGGGTACGCAGGACCAACGTCACCCTTGTGGACCAAGGAGGTTGACAGTTGCTGTTCCATGCCTTGGTATTTTCTTGTGTCGACAGTAGTACTAGTGTTGCTCATGGTTGACAGCCGACAATATAGCAAATGATGTTAAAATACTGTAAGAACAAGAACGCCCCATTCTGGAGAAGAATGGACGACGAAATAAGAACTTGACAAATAGGAACTGGTGCTCGGTTGGGGCAGCCAATAAGAACTGAGCCTCGCCCAATATAGGAGTTTCTTAAGTGCGGGCCGGCACTGTAATGTTCTCCCGTGTCCTTCTCACATTTAAGGACATGCCATTACACAAGGTAAATTTGTTCTCCCGCGCCGCATATGCCCCCATACATCACACACAAAATATAAGTTGATGACGAAAATATACACACCCCGAGACGCGCTCGCTCCGCAACCACATAAGGGTGCCATAATAGGACACCCGACAAACCGAGTTCCGTCTACATACAACTTCCCAACAAAATATACAGATAGATACACAAGATGGCTACCAAACTGCCTTGTTGAGCCTGTTTCCCACAGGGGAGATATCGTTGTATGCTGTCTGGGAAACCGTAGACATACAGGTAGCCTTTCGCTCACGCTATGGATTCATTGCTAATCTATCTAAGACTTATTTCTATAGGCTAGATAGAGAGAGATGGATTTGTTGTGTGATACTAAGAAAAAATAATAGTAATAACGGAGGACGCTTCCCACAGCCGCCTAAAGAAAAAATCAAAGGGTAACGTACCAGCACCAGGCACTACGCACCAGGGCATGGGAGTAACGAACGGAGCAAACAGGGCAAAGAGGCGGCAGATGGGCAGACAGCCAGATGTACAAGAAACAAAAGCAACAACAACAACAACAACAGCAAAAGAGAGATCAAGGTACCCAACACAGCAGAGTAGGCAGGGAGTACATGAAAAAAAAGAAACACAGCACAGAGGCCGAAGGCAATACAAAGGACACACATAAAGGAGTATATCATACAGCAGGGAGGGAAACAGGGCGCAACAACATCATCAGCCGGGTACATAGTTCGCCACAACAAGTAAGTGCTGCCCCGGCCGCCCTACTCGCTTCTACAGCAGCAGTGCCTGGTCGCCGTTTCTTCCCTCCCACCGCCGCTTCCCCGACTCTCTTTCTCTTCGGTCCTGAGATGGCCGTACTCTCTGCTTCTGCTTCCCTCGCGCGCTGGCGCTTCGCGGACGCTTCCGCCTCCTGCCTGTGCCATTTCCTCATGAGCCATGCCGCCCCGTCCTCGACCTTGTTGTACCACACCTCCGGGTCCTTGGCGTTCTCTTTCTTTTCCCCCCCTTCCTCTTTGTCTACCAAGTTAAAGGCCACGAGGTCCTCACTCCTAGTAGACGAGACAGCCAGTCGCTCTCCTGCCAGCCCCGGTATCCCACGCCCCCCGCCATCGCTCCTAACAGCATGCATGCGCTTGGGGAGGCGGTTATCCTCCATGCGCACAGCAAAGCCCGCGAAGCACAGCATTCTCCGTTTCCGCACGGTGGCCTCGATGGTTTTTTCCTCGCAGCCTGCCTGGATGAGGGCCTGGGCATAGGACAGGGGGCGGTCTGAGCGTTTCCACTTGCTCCAGCCGATTCACCGTGCAAGGAACTGGCAGTGGGTCCCGTCGAGCTTCGTGTAGTGCTCGGCTGTTAGGCTCCACGAGGCGCACTCATATAGGAGAGTCTCCACCACTTCAGCCTGGAGTAGCCTGGTCTTGAGCTGCTAGCGGTCGGCCCGTCACCTGTCGTACATCGAAGCACTGGGTAGCACTTCCACGCTCGGCAGCTGCGGCTCGTGATCTCCCGGTCGGCCTTCCCGTCCGCGGAGATGGTACGTCCGAGGTACACAAACCGATCTGTCTGCTTGTACGTCTGGCCGGCGGCGCTCACCGTGAACGCGCGTTCCTCGATCCCTTTCGGCAGCATGCACATGATGATCTCGTCTTTGGCTCCGACGTGTATGAAGAGGAATAATGCGGCGTGACTTCGACGATGAACATATTGCTTGCCTCGTCGAGGTCAGCCCTGAATAATGAAGAGCTGTGTGGTGTGTCGACCAACGGTCTTGTATCTCTGAGGTGAGGAAACTAACACGAGGGTTCCTCAGAGCACAAACGAACTCCCTCGATGGACGAGGGTTCCACAGGTTGAATGAACATACTAAATGTTCAATAAACGACGACAACGTTGAACTCAACGTTGTGTGCGACGAAAGAGAGTGCGCACTCTCATCCACGTACAGGAGCGGAGAGGGCGTTGCGTGCTTACATGGTAGTCTCAACTTCTCTGCCTTTGCGCACGATAAACGACAACGGCAAAGCGGGGTGGGCTGCGCGGTCTACGACGAAATACGAAAGTTGCGAACGCCGCGTCGTACTTGCGAAGGAGGTCACAGCCGTTTCACTGCTGCTGTATATTCCCGCAATATCACGGGAGGTTGCATAAGATACCACACCCCCTGGATCTGTATCAAAAGCTCACTTTCTCCACGACCAAGAAGATGACATCTTTATGAGGGACATTGTCGGAAAGTTGTTGACAAGGCGGTCCCAAGCTTTCATTGTCGGCACCACCACTGTTTAGACTGCAGAGTTATCGAGCTCTAACAATCGCCCCCGGGGTGTGGTATCATGCGAACGCCCGCATTCGCGCTTTTTTTTTTTTAGGCCTCCAAACACATCCAAGGCATTACAGCAGCAGTAGACGACATCAGACCCATCAGACATCAGACGCGAGCGACAGACGGGAGAGAAAGATCAAACGCACTACCTATCCGTATACCTGATCACCAAAGGGGGAAGCATTTGGTCCCTGTCCAAGATCATACGCGCCAGCGCTTTGGTTTTCTTCCTGCGGGCGAAAAAAAAGCAAAAAGCAGTGTCTTGTGCTGTCTTTGCCAACGGCGTCCCAAGGTGTACCGCCCTCCATCTCGCGTACATGCCCCCACCGGATGTACGACGAGGTTCAAGATTGGCGATGGACGATCATAACGGGGCTGCTGCTCTCCAGCCTGCCACCTCGGGGAGCAGCGGTGTCGCGTCTCGTGCGTCGATCTCGGGCTCTTCCCCTCTTTCTGCAGACCTACGGACAGCAGGGGGAGCGTCCGCAGCAGCAGGGATGGATCTGGGATTCGAAGCTGCCAGCAGCGGCAGCGGGGCCGGTAGTGAGGTTGACAACAGTGTGGTGGCGGGTGAGGCGATAAACTGGGAAGGGGTGGGTAGTGAAGCGGAGGGTGAATGGAATATGCGTCATCATCATGGCACAGGAAAATCACCGCTTGCCGGTTCATCTGAGCAACGCAGCAACGGTGGTGACCTCATTAGACAGAGACAGCACGCAAACGACCACGCGTTTGTCAGGTCAGCGGAGTTGACAGCAGCAGCAGCAGCAGCAGCAGCAGCAGCCGCGGCCGTAGAGGTAGAGATGGAGCTCCCGCTGAAAACGGGTGTCGAGGCAAGGCGAGGTTTCGAGGCACAACAGCAGCAGCGGGGGCGGCAGCAGCAGCAGCAGCCCCCTCCCGCTGCAGGGGCGGCGGAGGGGCAACAAGAGAGCGTCACGTTGTTGGTGAGGGAAGGTTGTGATGGCGGCGATGCCCCTGGCCGATCTTCCCGCCGTGCCTCATCACCGACGTGCCCACCTCCTGGGCCCCGCGTGTCGCCAGCAGGGGAAGCGGGCGGCAATAGAGCGCGCGCGGGGTTTGGCGAAAGCATGATTAGCAAGACAGCAGTGGGAGATAGCACGGCAGCAGCGGCCGCTGCTGCAACGGAGATGTTCCAACAAGTGGAGATAGGTGATGTTGGTTTTGGAGAAGGCGTGCCCCACGATGATAGTGGCAGGGGAGGGCCGCGCGCGTCTCCCGTGGTTGACGTCAGCAGCAGCAGCAGCAGTGGGGATGGTGGTGGTGGCGAGCTTGAAGAAAACCTACCGCCTGCCGCAGCCTTAGTTGACGTCTTGCACGAGGGCAGCGTCGTCGGAATCGAGAGCATGTCAGATTCAACCGCAGCAGCTGCAGTAGCATCATCGGCGAGACTGTCGTCTCCAGAAGCAGTAAAAGCCTTCGACCACGACCTACTCGAAGGTCGCCCGGACATCCTACCATTCACGGGGCAGGTCGGCGGCGGCGGCGGCGGCGGCGGCACCAGCAGCCGGGACTACGGCGGCATGATCGGCCCGGTGTCCCCCCTCTCGCAGGCTCTCCACATGGCCCTGGCGTTCGTCGTGCTGGTGCTCGTTGCGATCGCGAAGGCCGACGACGTCACCGCGGTGCGCGCTACGCCGTACGCCAAGGGCGCGGGGTACAGCGGCAGCGGCAGTAACAGCGGTAGCTCCGGAGCCCCAGGCTCCACGCCGGCGAGAAGGAAAGGGTCCAGGACCGGCGGCGGCAGCGGCAGCGGGGACTCTTCCCAACGGAGCTCTGGAGCGGGACCGGTGAAACGAAGAAGAATCGCCAGCAGCAGCGGCAAGGGAAAAATCGGGCGCCGCCGCGGGGGCGGGGTATTGACGTCGCCGGTCGCGCGCCACCTCCGGGCGGCGTGGTCCTCGCTCTGGCACGCTGTCGAGGACGACCTGGCCACCCGGTGGCGCGCCGCAGGCCGGGTTCTCATGCACCTCCGCCAGGCGTGGTCGGCCCTCTGGGTGCCCCCGCCGCACGCCGAGGCGGACATCCTGGCCGGCGCCCTGGCGTCGCCGCCATGCTACCCCCACGGAGCCACGGGTCGTCGGCGCAGGACAGCCGCGGGTGGGGGTGGCGGGGGCGGGGGCGGGGGCGGGAGCGGCGTCGGGAGCGTCGGCAATGGCGGCGGGGGTTCCGAGAGGCGCCGGCGAAGATCCGGGGGGCGCACGAGCGGCGCCCGCGGCGGACGGGGCGCGCTTGGCGCGACAGACGGCAGCGGCCCGAGCGAGAAGGGCTTGCACCTCGGGCGGCCAGTGGGCCTGAACTGCCTGAACTTTCTGAGCCTGTGCGGGTACCGCCCCGGCGGGGGAAGGGGCTCGCGGCAGCCCAAGTTCCTGCTCCTGCTCGACCTCGACGAGACCCTGGTCCACTGCTCTCCGCACGTGATGCAGCCGCCGAGGAGGCACGGCGGCGGCGGCCGGGGCGCGCCGCGGCCGGACCTGAAGCTCGAGATGAGGGGTAGGGCGCCCTCGGACAACCGGCCGTCGTGCATGGACGCGTGGAAACGCCCGCACCTGGACGTCTTTCTCGGAGTGGTAAGCAGGTGGTACGAGGTCGCCGTCTTCACGTCAGGGCGGCAGTGCTTTGCGGAGGTGAGAATTTGGGTTTTGACGAGAGGCCTCCTTTGTGTGTTTTTTCTTTTTCGTGACTGTTGTTTTTGTTGCCACGTGTGCGGCATCAGGGTGGCTGTCGTTGGGCCCTCTCGCTCGGGGGAGGATACTGCTGTAGCGGGGAGGAGCACCACTGAGGCAGGCGCAGGGAGTTTGTCTGTCGATGCTGTAGTTGTGCCACAACTGCGCCATCAGCGTCGCAAATCGGGAGTAAGCCCAGCTAAACCTCTCTCCAATCTTTTCGTCCTTTTCCTGCATGCGTCGATGTGCACCGTTATTTCTACAACCCTTCCACTGATCGATCGCCCTCACACCCGTGTGCACCCCCCCCTTCCTCTCCTCTTGTGCTGTTTGTTTTGCCTTTAGCCGCTCATCGACCTCATCGACTCGCGATGTGTTATCGGCAAGCGCTTCTACCGAGACAGCTGCGTACGCCGCGACGGGGCCGCCCCACCCGACACCGGACGGACGGCGCGCGGCGCTACCGGGGTGCCTGTGGCGACGGCGGAGGCGGGGGCTCCGCCCAAGTCCTCGGAGAGCGTTAAGGATCTCCAGGTTGTGGGTTCGGAGCACTTCCCACTCCGCACCGTGCTCGTGGACAACCAGCCGCGGACGGTGGTGCAGCAGGCCAACGTCCTCCCCGTCAAGTCGTGGTTTCCGAGGGACACGGAGGACCGACAGTTGCTGGACCTCCTCCCGGTGCTGCTGGCGCTGACGTCGTGCCAGGACGTGCGCTCGGTGCTGAGCTTGAGGCCCGGGGTGGGGGTTGGGGGCGGCGGGGCGGTGTGCTCCGGATGAAGGAGGGAGGCGTTCGGCGTCTTCACGCTGTCCCTGTGTGGCGGTGGTAACGGTGTTGGTGGTGTTGGTCACCCACGGTAGGATCGATGGTGGCGATGTTGTCTCGTGCGGGGGGTAGCTGCGGACGGATTGTGCTTGAGCAGAGCGTTGGCGAGCAAGGCGGAGGGTACCGATAGCACGGCGCTTCTGCGGCTTGGTTGGCAGGCTTGTTGACCTGAGGGAATGGTGAGATTCGGATCGCAGCTCCCCCCCTGTTGTACGCGCTCGAGTGTCGATGTGATGAAGTTGCGTTGAACCGGATGGCTCGTTGCAATCTGTTTCATAGCAAGAAGGGATGAAAAATCGGGAACATAGCGTGTGTTTGTTTGCTTGTAATACCGTTCAGACCCCCCCCCCCCCCCCCCCCCCCCCCCCCCCCCCCCCCCCCCCCCCCCCCCCCCCCCCCCCCCCCCCCCCCCCCCCCNTAATACCGTTCAGCCCCCCCCCCCCCTCCTCGCACGCGCCTCTCGTGATGTGTTTGTTAGTCGGCGTTTGGTTGTGTGCGTTCGTCTTCGCGCGGCGCCGCTGCTTCTTCTTCGTGTTATGACGTGTAGACGCACACGAAAATCTGGCGAAGATCCTGCCCGTAATGCAACGGAAAAGAAATTCTACCTCGCTTCCCCCCCCCCCCCCCCCCCCCCCCCCTGCAATGATGCTCGCCACTGGTTGAGAGCAGTTCCTGACCCCGGCCACAGTCGAGTGAACGGGTATCGAATGAAGAAGTTCATTGATTTATATTTCGTTGAGACGGGGGACAAGACCCTCCCACCAGTACTTTTTGCTGAACGGTCTCTCGCTGTTGTTGGTGCATATTTCTCTGCATACATTCATTTGTGCTGTTTCGTTTTGTTTTGTTCGTGAGGGGGGGGTGGGGAGAGGGTGGGCGGATAGATTGGACACCGATGTATTAGGTGTCTTCGCTGGCTCGTGCAGGTGTGGTCAGCGGAGCTGGTACTACGCTGCTCTCACGCAGATTGACCGGTTTTGGTGTAGAAATGTGGCGTTTCGTCCCCTTCCTTGGCGATGTCCGGTCAGAAGTAGTATCTACCGGATGCACTTTTCTTGCTTTGCTGCGCTTGCAAGGGTTGGACTCATCCGTGTGTGTGTGTGTGTGTGTGTGTGTGTGTGTGTGTGTGTGTCTTCATTGTTACCATCGACCGCGCTAACCGGCTGACCGGTGAAAAGACGTGTGCGTGTGTGTGCATACGTAGCTGCATATACAGTAGACGTTTCGCCGATGAACAGGGGAGCTAGTCGCTTCTATGGCAGATGACGATGGCTCGTCTTTTCCGGGATGTATTTTTGTTTTGGGCCAAGAGGAGATACAGCAGCCAGTAGACATGGGTCGGAGATGTGTTCATTCTTCATGTTGGTTTGCACCTCGTTCGTTCTGGTCTACATGGGGCGGCTCTGGTGTAGCTGCAGGCGACCAATTATCTCTTTTTCGCGCTTCTATCGTTTTCCTGTTGTTTTGCTTTATGACCGGAACCGGCATCAGCCGAGTAGGGAAGAGTTGGAGTTGGAACGATGCACATTATTTAGTAGCACGACCGGTTGTCGGAAAGGCGCGTGGTTGTTTGCACATACAAGGCATCGGCGACAGCTGTCGCGATCCCGCAGAGATGTGGTCGGTGGAGAAGGAAAGCGTACCCTGGCACTAGAGAAGGTCCGAGTACTGGAGGAGGCGGTTCATTTCATGCACGACCTCGAAGCCTCGTGCTGCGTAAGCAGCGGGTACATCCCATATCGGAGACCGTAAAAACTGAACGAAGTTAGGATTGGGATTGAAAAGAGCCGTGGGCCTGCTCTACAGCCTATGTCAAGGTTGTATCTTTCTTGTTTGCGGCATGCCTATTGTAGCTCTTTCCTTCGTGTTTTTTTTCTCAGGCGGCATGGGGAGTAGCCGGCGGACCACGAGTTGTGCGCCCACGATTGGTTGTCCTGCGAAGTCCGGACGGCGGTGGTGGCTAGAGGGACATAAATTTCGTTTTTTTTTTTCCGGTTGTTCGCCTTCCACGAAGAAGGGTGAAAACAAAGCGGGTGTAGTCTGCACGTACAACTGTTACTTCACTTGCATTACCTCAGTTGTTATATTTTGCAGTTTACGGGCTGAGTTTGTTGTGCGCCAAGGAGATGGTGCTTGCGTATCTCTCCTGATCCATTTGGCGTAATCAGCCCGGTCCAGGATGGATGTAGATCTATCTGTTTTTTTTTCTGGGTTAACAAACGATACGATGGATTGCTTCCCATCTCGCTCCGCGGTTGAAACCTGGCGTTTATTTTTACCGTGTCTGGTTAAGGCTCTTTGTTTTCCGTGTCATGTGGCGCACAGCAGGTCCCACACTACATGAGTGGAATCACGGTGCCTGCCTTTTTTGCGGCGTTGCAAAAAGCGCTACACCCAAGCAAGAAGTGGTGTCCATTCATCTTTGTTGCACAACGTCTTGGGTATTACCATATCGCTGCACAGCACATGCCGCCTCCGCAATCTCGCCGGCGTGCCGCTGGAGGCTAACTCTTGTTTGAGGCGCGCTCAACGCCTCAGCGGCCATTTTTTTTTGGCTAGCACCGACACCACCAATTGCAAGCTTCTTTTATAGGGGTGTCGGGCCTGTCGCGGGTAAAAAACGACACTCGTGTTCAGACTTCCCGCAGCTCACGTTCCTACGTACAACTGCGGTCGCGTGTGTCAAAGGGGAGTGACGAACACGTACCATTCTTTGGTCCCTACTTGGTGTGTATCTGAATATCTGAAGCCTGTCTTGTGTGTTGTTTTGCCTACTGTCCCCTTGCAGCTCACACACAACACCAGCGCACAAGTGCACGCTCAGCTTGGTGGCAGCAAAAGGAGAAGGTGGCTTAGAACGTTCAGGCCGGGGGTTCGCCGGGAGCTAGTGTAATCAGCTCTGTGTTTATGTAGTCGAGCCTTGCGAAAAAGCTCATGCCTTCCTTCCTGATCAGTGAGATAACGTACTACCTGACAAAGCAGCATGGAGCACACGCTCGTCGTGATACTAACTTGAAACTCTGCTACTCTCGAAACGGTCGACTATGGAACGGCGCGATCCCCCCGTATTTGCTTGTCGGAACAAGTACGTACTCTTGGCAACGACGGGTTTCTTGAAGTACAAATCGATGATGGCCGGCTTGTCCCACGTAGATTCCATTGTTGCCTGGTTGTACCTGGTTCATCGTCCAACCAAGTGCGAGAAAGGGGCGACTGAACCCCACTCACGTGAATGAATAAAGACAAGCGCTACTACAGTGGAAAGTTGTGTGGCCCGGCATTGGACGTCTTCAGTTTATGTAAGAGGAACGGTCGTGCGGGAGGCAGCACTACGAGCGAGCCTGGCTGTTGATAGTCCCAATTGGTGGCGGAAACCAATAAATATGTCTCATTCGATCGATCGACGGTTGTGAAACACTCATGTCAAGTGACATGTTGGCTACTATGGGCCCTACTATGGGCAATGGTAGCACAACGCCTTCCCAACGAACTCTTTGGGGGTGGTCACGAGCAGGTAGCGCCCAGTCAGAAATCGCTTGGGACACAGGCTAAAAGGTTTGACGCATCGGGAAAAGTGAAGAAGCATCATACTATGAGCGGAACGTCGGCGATCATATTCGTTGTAGTCTACGCCGGGTGTTCTGAGACGGAAAATGACTGTTTTGGGGGGCATCAGGCTGTAGTACTCACCAGTAGAACGCACCCTCGCCTGGGTCGTACATGCGAATAAAGTTTTGCGCCACCACTTTTTTCATCTCCCGATAGGCCGCTTTGCGCCTCAGGGCCGACTGCATGAGCACGGCCGCCTCCGTCTCCGCTAGCATGCTGCCGCCGCTGCTTCTCCCACTACTGCCGCCAGTCCTGTCGATCGAGCCTTCCCTCCCACCCTCGCCGTCTGCACCCCCTGCCTCTTCCAAGCCGCCGCGCACTTCGTCCGCCCCAACAAGCACCAAGGCAGAAGAAGCTGCCGCGGCGGTTGCCGTCGAATGCCGCCGTGAACCGTCGTCGTCTGTCGTTCTCGCCCCAAGAGAACCCATCTCCTCCAAATCCTCGCCCCCTCCTCCGGAGGAAACCACGTCCCCGCCCCCCGTAACCCTGTCCGCCTCATCTGTAGCCTCTCCCCCCTCCCTTAGTTCACCTTCTCTTCTTCTACGAGCGAGGGCCGCTTCTGACATCAACTCTTCCGCTTCCCCGGACGCCGCCAGCTCCAATACGGCTTCATCAACCAGCTCCGACATTACCTTGGACCTCACTTGGTACCCCAGGCCGTCCGCCACCGCCTCCGTCGGTCTGGCATCGGCCCACAGGTCTCCCTCCGGGCCCGTGAGGTCTACGCCGCACTGATCGATAAGCTCGTCCATGATTCGAGACCGAGCGAGCGAACAGGCCGCTTCGGAGAGAGCGGAGGCAACTCTCGGGTCGATCTCGCGGTTCTCGAGGGCGATGAGGTGGGCCGCCTCGTCCACCGTTTCGTTCCAGACAGCCGAGATTACCTTGGCAAACGTGCTCCGCTCCGCGATAATGACCACCGCGAGTAGCGACGCCTGGAGGAGGTTGTTGATCGATGAGTTAGCTCGTCGATTAGTGGGTGCGAAGAACCATACCAGTTGGAAGTTGACACAAAAAAAACTCACGTAATGCATAATCGCAATGCAGTGGTGATTGCAGTCGTGATTATCCACATGAGGGACATGTGCGTTGATGCTACAGCTTGTGTTCAAGTTCTGACACACATCTTCCTCCGCACGCATGCCGTTCGCCGGTTTCCGGTGGGACAAATCGTGTTCTTCTGTGGCCAGCATAGTGCGATCAATAGACTTCCCCTTGATTTCTAAGGTGCTGTACGCCAAAGTACACCTGCGGGTATTGTGTGCGTCGTTTTGCGGTTTTCTTGAGACACAATCGACACTTGGTTTTTGCTCAATGCAGCAGAGAGCAAACTGCTCGCGTATCGAGCGAATCTATCATACATTCCCAAAAGTGTCTTTCGCGTCATTCTCGTGGTCGAGAATCTTCCTCACACGACAGCGGAGGAAGAAGATCATAAGACACGGGTTCACCTGATCGTCAATCAAGCCGCCTAGGAGGCTCGCCCCGACAGCCCCTTGCAGGACAAGCCGCGTAGCCTGGTTCGCCAAGGACTCGACCTGCGCCTCTTGCTCGCGATCGAGGGCGGCCTTCCGGAGGCTGCGGGCCTCAGCCGCCCACTCCGCCTCCTCAGCGGCCGCGATCTCAGCCGCTGCTGCCTCAACGGCATCCCTCGTCGGCTTGTGCACCCCGTCCAAATACGTCCTGTACGGCGCGCTTCCCAGAAACGCCAGCCCGACTTGGCACTTGCTCAAGAACACGACGGCTCGGAAGCTCGCCTCTTCCAGGGCGGAAGGGTCTACGGTAGTGACGCGTGCGCCATCACCACTTCTTGGGGGTGACGGTCGCTGTCGCGTGGAGCTGTGGTTGGCACGGCCGGGGAGGAGCTTCTTGTTCGGTTTGGCGCCGTGTTTCGCTCCCAGCTCTCCGAAGAGGCGGCGTAGTTGATCGCCGCCGATTGCGACTCTGACGTCGTCGGGAAGGTGGGGGTACTTGGTGCGACTCACAATAATTGCCTCACCGAGTTGCTGGAAACGCTTTTGATCCGAGGAAACTAATCTCCATGCCTGAATCGCCTTCCACACGTCTAAAGTATCACGGGCAGCGGCACCAACGGAAGAATCTGGAGTAAAACCTTGGTTCCTCTGCTTCACGGGAGGTTGTTCGTCAGAGCTTGCTTGCCGGGTAGAACTTCCCTTCCCGTCAGGCTCGGCGGCGGCGGCCGCGGCTTTGACAAATTCTTCGAACACCGCGAGTCCAACAGGGTCTCTCATCGTCACGGACAGCTCTGCGACCCCGGGCGGGTCCGTTGGGTGAACATCAGCCGCGTGGCGCAGGGCGTGGCCGCGGTCGACAAAGGTGGCGTCGCAGCTATCCGAGCGTGGGCAACACAGGGGCGGGGGTGGCCAGGTGGTGTTGAAGTCGTGCCTTATCAGCGCTTGCTCTCGCCACACGAACCGCTGCACCATCTCTTGCTTCGCTTCCGCTTCGGACTCAGAGGCAGGCGGGGCCGTGGCTAGCCTGCTCGCGACGGCCTCCTTGCCGGCTGCTGTTCCCAAGAACGCCAAGGCGTTCTCCTTTATCGAAGGAGTGTGCCGGTCGAGAGTGGCTCGGAGACGATCAAGGCGCCGCTGCTCAACGTCGATTAGACCGCGGACTCGAACATCCTTGGTTCGTGTGACAGACGTCAGCGTGCACACAGTAGATACGAGGAGGACGAGAATGCTTGAGTCGAACGTGGAGCGCCTGATGGTCATGTTGAGGTCAATGTAGAAATGAAGCAGTGCTTCGTTGCGCGCTCCATCGAGTTGGGTGTAGATTGAGCGTTTTCCTCTTCCTGGCTCAACTCATCAATGGAACAAATGCACGGACACAACATTAGTCTTCGTCCTGGTACCAGGTATGCTTCACTCGGGTAAACATCCGACCCAACACGAAGCGTTTTATTCTCACTGCACCTTAAGTTTTTGAACAGTCTCCTCAGCCCGACGGACTCGAGAGGCCTTGACCTTCCTTTTCCGTCGTGCGCACGATTTTTTCATCTTTACCACGACTTGCATCTTCACGCAGGATTTCCGAACCCTGACGTAGCGTGACCTATGTTTCCATCGCAGCAGCCTACTTGCGAGGGTGGAACAAGCCCAGTCCATTCGTGATCGTATGCGGTCCTCCAACGCGACATCTCGCCATTCTCGGAACCATCTCCGCGCTACCGAGCGGAATCGTAAGCGCTCGACTGCCAGCGACGTCTCCGTGTATCTCACCCAGCTCTCGAAAACTCGAAGCCGAACCCCTTCCGAAACCCGCCGTATACACTGTCGCAGAAGTTCCTCCCGCGTCGCTCGTCTCTCCTGGGCGTTACTCAAGAGGGCCACGAAAATTCTCCCCCTCCGACGGTTTGACAACCGGCCGGTGAACGCTTTCACGCGTAGGGCCGTCGTAATAGTGGTTCGCCAGACCACGAAGCTGTGGGTCACAATTCGCGTGTTTCCCCAAAGCGTCCTCAAGCGGATGATGGCACGCCACTTCCGTCTCTGAAGGAAGCCCCGAAATTGCGATTGTATCACCAGAGCCGCTGCCTTGCGATGGCGTAGCAGCGGCGGCCAAGCACTCCACCACCAGATTTGGATGATCCTGGTGGCGTCGAGGACCTTGCCGTGGTAGTGGCTGCCGGGGTAGGTGGCGTGGTCAAACTGATCCCCAGGTAGGGGGCCGTAGCGAACAGCTAAGCCGTAGTACGTGCCGTAGTCTTGTTTTCGCCGCTGAGCTTCTTCAAACCTTTGCCGGCCGGACGAAGCAACGGGAATAGGCGTCGTCAAAGAAAGAGAACTCAGTAGCATTTCACTTGAGAACCAATGTGAATGCCATCCAATACAAAGCGGCGTTGATCGAGTGTAAGGTGATCTTGTTGCAGCAAGACAATGCCAGTCATATGCGTTGTAACCGAGCGCTTGATCGAGAAGGAGCCTGTTGGTTCATGGAATCATACGAACAGAAGAACGTGTGCCTAACGGAGTCTGCCTCACTTCGAAAGAGTTGTGGCTTCGGCATCCTCCAGTCGCATTTGATCTAGCTCGACCTTCTGAACGTCCGCTTCATCCATGAAAAGAAGAGGATGGAGATGGGAACCTCGTTTCACCGTCACCCCCCTTCCTCCTCCTCCCGCCCCTTCTGATACGTCAAGACTCCGTAGCCGGCCAAGGTGGTGTGACCTTCTATGTCCAGTATGTCGAATCGGCTTCCCACATCGTTGTCTTCGGCTGTCTTCTTTGTTCCTATTGCTGTAGTGCACAAGAGAGGCCTCCAAACGCCGTCGTTGCATGTCATCCCCTAGCTTCTTCTGCTCTTTCAGCAGAGCTCGAAGTGTTGTTCGAGCACCGAGCAACTCGGAGGTGCATCTATCGTCGACTGACATTTTTGTTGCCGGATTTGGAATTCGTAGATCATGGAGAATGTAGGCGTGAGAGTCTCGCAAAGCCGTCACGTTCTGATCGTGTGTTGCTGACGGCAGCGAAGGACCTTGTACGCTGTTGCTGCCATTGCGCTCGTGATCGGACACAGTGCGACCGTGCTCGATATCTGACGGTTTCTGTTGCTCGTTGTCGCCACAGCCTAGAGCACCAATACTGATTTCGTACCCGTTTTCAAGGAACCCGTCGGCTTCGCCCGCTTTATTATGCGGCTGTTGATGCTGTTGCTGGTGTGCGTCCGGCAGATCGCGCAGCGGTCTCGACAGCTCAACTTGGCGATCGGGACCCACCGAGGTTTCTGCGGCCGCCGAGGGAACTTCATGTGACGGAGCCAACGAAAGCGAGAGTGACTCTAACCTTGCTTGCAGAGCCGCAGCTTTCCCCAGCTTGAAGCGATTCTTGGACCTATATTGCCGCTGGTGCAAGCCCTGCTTCCGGTGGTGTTTGTCTAGGTTGCTGATCATTCGGCCAAGATCGAGAGGTCCTTCACTGAGTGGGAAGTGTTTCTTTCTAGGCCGTATCCATCCACCCGGACCTTGGTAGCCGTTCCCACCGTGCCGCATTGCGCTGGCTACGGGGGGGAGGAACTTCATATTTGCAGCTGGATGGCCGTCTCTGGTTACTGGAGAGAGAGGGCCCAGAGAGAGAGAGAGAGAGAGAGAGAGAGAGAGAGAGAGAGAGAGAGAGAGAGAAAGGTGCAGCAGAAGCTTCGCAGGTGAGACACACAAGGAACGGGGGAACTGAGAAACTTTCCCGAACCGCAACGCGAACCTGATTCGCTAATCTCACCGCATCTCTCGAGCTCTTCACTCTGCACTCTTCGCTCTTGCCATATATGCAACCACAAACCTTGCCGACAAGACAGGACCGGTGGGATTGCGATGGACGGTGCGGTAAGCCTGGAGTTCATGACCGGAAATCCACAGCTCGGAGTGCTGTCGGGAAGGTTGACCTACCTCGAAACCAGCAGCAACGAGAGCAGCGATGGTTCCTTGTCGCGCAAGGAAGAGAAGGGCCACGCTCGCACAAGCAGCAGCAGCAGCAGCAGACGGGAGGGTTCCAACAGCAGTACCGTCGCCGACACCACATACTCCCCTAACTTCAATGCCGACGTCCTCCTCGACCACCTCCCTCAGCGTCGGGGCAAGCTGCTGTGCCTCCTGTCGGTGCCAGCGCACATGGTGCCTACAGATATGCTACACTTCGCCGCGCCGTTCAAGGAGCAGGTGCACTCCCTCCGCATCCTCCGCCCTTGCAACCCGGTGGGACCGAGTGATCCCGCCAAGACGCCAGCGGAGTACATGGTCCTGCTGCAGATGGAGAGTCAGGTTCGTGCGTATGTGTATATGGACCCTGGTTTTACTTCGCGGGAGCGTATGACCAATACAATGATGTACAATTCAACTTGTGAATCTGCGTACAGGTACATATGATAGGAGGGGGTTGAAGGGCCCCTCCGCCCCCAGTGGGCGCCGGGGCCCGAATCGCAAACTGAAGGTGGTTAAGTTGAACAGCAGTTCGATGCATTGAACAGTGTGGTTGAAGAAAGAGGTTTATAATGAGCCGCGGAGCGAGCGAAGCGAGCGACAGTTTTTCCCTTCGTTCCCAGGAGGGAAAAAAAGGCACTAGATGCCGGCCAAAGTTGCGCCGCGCGATACAGGGGCCCCGAAAATTGATTACGGGGAAGCATATAGCACACCTTTGGGACCTGAACGAGATATATTGGGCACCGATTGGCGATCTGTTCGCTTCTGAGGAAGAAGAAAAATAGCGCGCTCTTCTCCACACCGGTTTCGTCGTGCTCCGAGAGCAGATGGCCGTGCTTCACCGGCATATGAAGCCTACATTCGTAGGAGATTTTGCTCCCCAACCCCGGGGTTTCTACGCGAAAAGGCGTGCTCAAAAGCGGAGATCGCGCGCGCCCGCGATACAAACCAGGACAAGAAACACCGACAGAGACGCAAGAACACCACCAACCAACACATAACCGCTGACGCTGGTCTGAGACCAGCTATGAAAACCTTGAGGGGCCGGGCCTATACTTTCCTGTGCACCGTGGGTATACTGTAGGCATGCGCCATGTGTAACCTGGCGGGTGTGTATTGATGTTGAGTGGGTTCAACTTTCTGCTTCAAAAAGAGCAGACCGATGATCACACAAATACATACCTTCCCACAAGTCCAGATCACACCGACAATCATCGAGAGAATCCGTCGAGGGCGTGAGGGTCTACTACTGCTGCTGCTGTGCGTTATCAGGATGGTTCCCCGCGGGATCGGTTCAGATTGCGTACTTGCGCCGCGCTACAGACTGTCTTCGCAAAGAAAGCCGTGCCCTGCATGCTGTTGTTGCTGCTGCAGGGCTGCAGCAGGACCTCTCGGCCTCTCGCATCAAAGTCATGACGTCACATGGCCATCAACGGCTTTTTGTTGTTTTTGGTTCATGCTGGACTGCTTGCTTGCACTTGGGCGGGAAACTCGGAAGGCTTGAGACGAATGTGGCGGGCAAGTTGTGAGCCTGACGCAATATTTGCCACCAGTCGTGTCACAATCCTATGTCGAAGCTGCTGGTCGTGCTCCTCGACGGTGTGATGTGTGATACGCTCGCCGCCAGGGGGATGCCGCACATGTGTGCTTCTTCCAGATGCCTAGCAGATGTGCGTGTCTGCGTCCGCACAGCGGGAAGACTTCACATTTTGTTTCTTCGTGCATGTGCATAAAAACGGAAAGAAACAACCAAATGTAAAGTGCAAAATTTTGAACGGTGGCCGCATAAACGATCATCGTCGCTCCCGTCGCACGCCTGCTGTCCCTCTGTGGTGCACGCGTAGCTGCACCACAAACGAATTCACGCTGGTGTGTGTCGGGATTCGTGCACCATCAACATCGCAGAGAAGACTACTGCACGGTATTGAGTCGCACCACGCGGCTCACTACCCCCCCATACCTAGTATGAGCAGGGACCAAGTAGGCTACATGCGTTGAAAATATCGTCAAGGGCGGGCAGGGGCGAGCGTCGGTGACGGATATGGCGTAATGCGGTCGCTCCCAGCATCGTCTTGTGTAAAGGTCTTCAACGTGTTGTATGTACGTTAATACACCGCGCATTTCGCCGATCGACAAACGTAACTTGCTAAAGAGTTGATTATTATTCAAAATTTAACATTGATTGTTTTTATCGATGTTGCACTATCGAATACATTGCAGGACTTACCACCTTCAGTGAGGGAATGCCGTAACATCTCAGGGTGGGCGGATGTGATTGTATTTATTGGCTAAACGTCCATCAACCAAGGTTTCATCGTGGAACCATGTTGTTTCGTGATGTGATATTTTTTTTCATTAACGGTCGTCCTGAAGGCGCCCATAATTATCTGGGGTTTATTATTGACTACAGAACAAGGAATAGTGTACGGTGTGTGATGCCATATCACACAAATGACTTTCCTCTCGTTCAAAGCTTGGCCTACCGTCCATATCATAAGCGGTATCAATTTCTGTTGAAACCGCGAATGCGTGAACACGACACGAAAGGCGTTCCTTTCTTTCAAATCTCGGCCTACTGCATATCATGTAAGAAACGTTATATTCATCATCTTGTAGTAACGAGTGCTGCAATATCACACGAAAGACCTTCCTATCTTTCAAAGCTTGGCCTACGGCGTTTTGATGATATTATTTGTTCCCAATTCTCTACTAATGGCGACGTGTATGAACGTGACGTAAAAAAAAGTCACAAGCGGAAAGAAGAGTAGGTCGAAGATATGCTAATCGTAAAATAACCTCTACAACATGTAGACGCCGATATGCAGACGGTCTTTTCGTCGTCTTCTCAAGATTGGTTGGTGTCGTCGTTGCTTTCTTCACCGGCGTTGTCGTCGTCGTCCTCTTCGTTGTCGTTGTCGTCGGAGGCGTCGCCGGAGTTGTTGGAGCCGTCGCTGTCGCCGGCAGTGTCGGGAGTGTAGTCGCTGCTCCGGTTGTCGTCGCTGCTGTTGTGGTCATCGTCGCTGTCGGCATTTCCTTCTGGGCTGGTGTCGCCGCCGATGGGGTCAGCGGTATCACGGGTTTTGTTGATGCGGCGACGCTTGGATGCTACTTGCCTTTCCCATTTCCGCCGGATTTGCGGTTCCGATTACGCTTCTTCTTCGCAGACGATGCGGTCGACAGGTCAATCGTTCCTGGGGCCGCCGCTGTCGGTGAATTAGAGAGGCGTTGGATGACGCCGTGGTCCGATGACAGAGCGAGGATATGGTAACCGGTTTGTTGTTGCGCACCCCATTTCTTCTTCTGGACGGCCGCGATGAAGGTGGTGTCGATCAGGAACCTGGCGTAAAATTCTGATCGACTTCCTTCATATTCGTGAACTCTTCCCCGTCGCACATGAACAGTTCATCGAGAGCCTGGAACAGAGGAGGAGAGTCCGCGGTAGGATAATAGAATAGTGACGTAACAGTTTGAACATAATGTACGATGGAAACGATGATTGAAAAGGGTACGTTGTGATGTGATGTTGTTGCATGTGACACACACGCGGGAATCCGCTCGCATGTCTGTTGCATAAGGTTAAACAGCAGCAAGGGGCTGTGTGCGCGACAAAGTACTTTGAAGGCTGTGTACATCGCGGCGCAGTGGACGTTGCAGTCTAGTATGCCTAACTTCAAGTTGCTTGGGACACAGTAATAGCAGTGCAAAGATTACAGTATATGACGCAAGATAAGACATTCCCTGGACTTATTTCTAAAGCGCGATTTCTCAACAACAGCAGAAAGAGTCACAGCGCTGAAGACAGACTCGATGACAAAGAGACAGATGGCTTAAAACTGGAATCGACATCCGCTGCGCGAGATGGGTAACAAACGCAGTTACCATACTCTAGGTTCTTCTACGATACAATCAGATATATTTCATTAAACTCTGTTTTATTGCCCGCCTCAGGAAAAAGCTAAGACGGCTACAGAATGATCGAAATATTGTGAGAAGGTTACCTTTTGCTTTGCGATAAATTTAGCAAGGTAAATGTGATCGTATTGATGGTTAACGTACCTTTTTTTAGATGGAAACAGCATCGGACATTGGACGCGACCGTTGCCGCGAAGGCCGCAGTTGACATACGAAGGAAACGTCGAGGGAGGTGGGGAATAATGGGGTTAATTGTCAGAAGTAAATATTGTCAAACGTGTCAGATGTATAGTTAGTGAGAAGTCATGAAATCAATACACGACGCATTTCGGCGATCGATGAAGATCGTTGTAACTAAAGAGTTGATTATTTTAGAAAACTCAACATCAATTTTTTTCGACGTTGTCCGTTCCACCCCCGTGTGACAATCCGAAGTACGGATACGGTCAACTCAATGAAGCCATCATGACAAAGATACGAACGGCGTAAGGCTGGAATGAGCAACCGGTGCCTGTGATGTGCAAAAAACACAGTTACGAACATTATATTTACTTTCTATGGATACCGAACAATATGTTTCATTAAAATCTGTTCATTTCCCACTTCTGCAAAAGCAACCACGCAGGGAGGTACGAAAAAAGAAATTCAATTGTCATCAGTAAGTAGCCTCAAGCGTGTGAGAGGTACATGTGGGTAATCACGAAACCAAAGAACGTCAAGACGGTGATTCGAGTGAAGGAAATTTGCGAAGAGAACCGTGATTTCCTACCGAAGTTGTTACATGAAATGTGCGGGTGACTTATAATGTTGTTTTTATTTGGGAGATGGGTTACTTATTATGTGGTTCGGTCACTGATAAATACACAGTAGAACATCCTCACCTTGGTACAAATAGAGATGGCTGCGGATACTTTGGGTGCCTCCGCCGGCGTGAGGGCCGCAGTCCACGGACATGTGCGGCGGAATTACCGTGAACAACGTCGGCACCATGTCGTAGTCAAAGTGGTCATGTGGGGTGTGTTTGCTAGTACATGTCATCGGAAATTCTGCCGTGGGGTTGCTGGTCGCCGAGCAACCCGGGGGCGGACCCATGCCGCATTCATTCTTATCACCGGTCCAGATGCGGAAAACCGGAGCATCACCGGGTAGACGCTCTCCAGGGTTTGTTGAGCAGCTACGACGTCGAAGGAGTAGAGCTTGGGAGGGTCGAGGATGCGGCGGAATTGCTTGGACGGAGGAAGGTCGGGTTTGGTGTTGGGAGAACCCATAGCGGCGAGAAGCTTCTCGTACCTCGGATTGTTCTGTGGAAATAAGTTGAGGTTGACGGAGAGAACACAAAAATAATACAGTAGAATCTAAAGCACAAGACGCATTGAGTTCAGTATGAGGGGGCGTATTAATGCGCTTAAGGGAGCAATAAATCGAAATAGTAAGTAAGAGAGGGATGGCACATGCTGGTGGCAAGTGCGGTAAGGTGGTTGTCACGTGAGGTGCTGTGGAACGGGTCGCAAGTAACGGTGAATTGCAGCCGTTTTTTAAATGTCACTTTGAAATGCAACGTAATTCCACAGCCTGCTTGGTTTGTTGGGGGAAAGCGTGCAACGATT